GACTGGGAGCCGTCATGAGCCCTGCCCGCCAGTTCCGCTGGCGTCGGTCCTGCCGCCCCCCTTGCCGCGGCGCAGCTTCTGCTCCTCCTTCGCCTTGCGAGCCTCCTTGAGGATCGCTGCCCTGTCGCGCATGCCCGCGGCCACGTGGCGCTGCAGGTCGGGCGCGACGGCGGCGCCCTGGCGATGAGTGGCCCAGCCCATGAAATCGTCGGCCGCGGAGTAGTCTGGGTTCGAGGGAGAGGCTGAGTGAGCGTCCTCGATGACCTGGATCCTGCGCACGACGAGCTCGGCGCTCTGGAGCACAGGGGCGTTGAGCTGGTCCACGGTCACGATTGCCTCCAGCACATGGCACAGCACCTCGTGTTCGTGAACTGAACGATCTCCATCAGGGATGCGAGCCGACCTCAGCCAGTTAGAGTGGTGAGTGACTGGCGTGAGCCCGGCATCCCGATACGACCTCAGCACCCAATCCGTAGTGCGAGGGCCCTGCAGCATGATGCCGCCCTCAGGCTCATCCGCGATCTGCATGTCCACGGCCTCGCTGTATGGGCGACGGCGCGCCCCCTGCTGGTTGAAACGCACGGGCAGCACGCGTAGGTCGTCCACGACGAAGGCGTCCACGTCGGCTAGGGCCACCTGGCGCGCTCCGACGAAGCCCCCTCCATGAGGCACCAGCGCCAGCTCCCCGTGAACGACGGCGCCCTGCGGGAGAGGATCAGGCATCTGCTCGCCGCGCCGCATCCCCTGGAAGTCCTCGATAGCCAGCCGCACTGTGCCAGCCACCGCGGGGGCGGCCGCGGCTCCAGCGCGGGGGACCCCTCCCACCACGCCAGCGCCTCGAGGCACGATGGCCCCCTGTGGTGCGGCCGCCGCGGGAGGAGCCGCCACGGGCGCCGCTGCGGCGGCAGGGGCAGCGGCAGCAGGCGGCGCCACCCCCCCGACAAGGAGCGAGCCCTCGCGGATCAGCTGCTGGACCTCGGCCGCCGTCGGCACCTGGCGGAAGCGGTAGACGTGGGCGGGGTTGACACCGGGGGGGTGGCGCCCTGCGCTCCCGACCACCGCTCATCTCTGAGGTCGTCGGACGTCGTGTACTCTGCGTAGTGGTCCCCATCTGGCGAGTACGTGCTGACAAGACCTGGATCTCCGATCGAGACCCCTGTCACGAGCCTCTCATGATACACCGGCGCTCCAGGCAAGTCATACTGGAAGAGCACGTAGTCACCTACCCTCGCCATTGCGCCTCCTGATCAGCTGCAGCTGCTGTCGCGCTCGATCTCCCACGCCTGTCGCCTCGGCGTCGACGCGGCCGCCCCGCCGCCAGACTGCACCGCCCAGCCCGAGCCCCGCAGAGACTCCCGCCAGGTATCCCCAGCAGGCCGAGGGAATGTCGAGCCCGTCAGGGACGAGCTCCACTCCTGCAGGCGGGCAGGAGAGATTCACCAGCGGCACGGGGCACGCTGGGGTGGGGCAGGCCAGCGCTGGGCAGACCTGGACGGGGCACGAGACGTTCGCGGGCGGGCACGCCAGCGAGACCGCGGGGCACTGGGGCACCGCCGAGATCAGGGATTGGCGCAGCGCCAGCAGCTCGAGAGCACGGATCCCTGCGGACTGGAAAGTCTCGATGAGGGCGGACTGAGCCCCCATCAGGGGAAACCTCTCCTGGAAAAAACTTGAGCATAAGTACAACATACGGCACTGAACGCAGCAAGAGATCATTAATGTGCAAGCGCAACGCATATATATATATATGCATATACATAGATGTAGAGAAATAGCGATAGATAGGGAGCGTGAGGGAGAGACACAACAAGAAACAATCAAACCAACAAGCAACCAAGTACAAACGAAGCACAACTGAGAGCATCAAGCAAGACAGCTGCAAACAAAATCAGCGCACAAAGCAATACAGCAAGCAAACAACGAACCAAACACAACAAGAAACGAGCGATAGAGACAGAGAAAACACGAGAGAGAGAGAGAGAGCGAGAGATGGAACGACAAAGGAAAGGGAGAGAGGCACGGGCGGAAAGGCGGCGGGCGCGCCGCGAGGATATTGTGGAACCGCACGCGCCTGCGCCGCGGGGAAGCACGCCGGCTGTGGACTACATTCACACCTCAGAGGCCGAGTGCTGCTCGCCGCGGCTGCCTCAGGTCAGAGGTTGCCAAAAGTGGTCCTGGCCCGAGCTGCCCGTATGCAGGCCGCCCGAATGAGGTCCGAAAAAATGGGGTCGGAAGATCACGCCGCTTTGCCGATGCATTGGCAAAGCGGCGACGTCGGGATGGAGGGAATCGGATTCTATGTCGAGCCGCATTGCCGAAGCATCGGCGATGCGGCGCGATCCCCCGACCCCCTCTACTCGGACCTCATCTGGGTGGCCTGGACCTCAGCCTTTCGGGCCGTCTACCCTGGCGACCCTCTGGACCTCGTGAGTGGGTGCTCTAGGAGCCGTCCGCGGCCACACCCCGGAAGAACTGGGGCCGACCTTGGGTCAGGGGCACCTCCAGCAACACCCGATTGGAGCTCAAGACAGAATAGGGGCAGAGTCTCGCTCTCGTCATCTGGACCGTTGTCGTCGCCGTCTGGGTAAAGCCACGCGAGGCGGCCCTGTCTCGCCGCGTCTCGGGCCCCCAAGGCTTTCAAGAATCCGGCCCAGCCTGGGGCGATACAAGCCGCGATATGGCTTCTTCACGACGCCGGGCTGGGAGATAGAGGCCGAGATACATGCACGAGGCGTGGCTTCGTCACAACGCCGCCCGTCTGGGTATGCACAGGGCCTGGCCAAACATTACTGTATGTGTGAGCGCTTCTGCGAGTAAGCCCTCCTGGCCAGTCCAGGGACACATACCGATAGGACCACTCTGCGGGTGAGAAGTTTGGGGGGTGGAGGGGGAGGCGGTCGATTTGCGATGGTTCAGGGTCCTTCTGGTGGTTTCTGAAGTTTTTCTTATTGTCGCGCACATCTGCCCATCTATCGATCGACCTATCTATTCTATTCTCGATTTAGGACAGCCATATATATATATGGCTCTCTCTCTCTCTCTCTCTCTCTCTATATATATATATATATACACTAGAACCACGCGCGCATCGCGCGCGCTTAGGTTCTAGCGCAGGCCCAACTGCTGGCACGAGACATGGAATTCATGCCGCGTTGTGCGTTGAGGTTGGCGCCCGCTTGCGCTGGTTTCATGGCTCCTCTGCTTCAGGAGGGGAGCAGGAAATTCACTTCCTGGACATTGACGACATTTGTCATTTGCATACTGCGATTGGCGTCTACTCCTCCTGTCCTCCTCCTCCTTGCGCTGATCCATATCATCGTCCTGATCCTTCCTCTCCTCCTCGTTGTCCTCCCTCCTCCTTGTGCAGCCGTCGCCTCTCGCGCTCCTCCATCCATCCCTTCCATCCCATCCGTGCGCCTCCTCCTCCTCCTCCCCGTCGTCCCCGTTCCCTCCTCTCTATCCTCATCCTCCTTATCTTCTTTTTCAGTCTTCTGGTCGGGGCGACCTCCTCAGAGAGGGTTTCTCAGCCTCTTCCCCCTCCTCCTTCCCGTTCATCCTCTCCTCCCACCAGGGATAATGGAGGGGGCGAGGGGGGGGAAGAAAACAAGGAAAAAAGAGGGAGGAAACAGGAGGAAGACGATGCGGGGGTTGGGGAAGCGGGCAGGACGAGGTAAAGGCGCTGCAAAGCAACGCAATGCAGCACAATGCAACGCAGTGCAAAACAATCCAAGGATCCTGACGAACCCGAGAAACCCCAGGAACCCAAAGAACCCAGGGATGGGGAGCCGAAGGAGAGATCCCGGGGAACCTGGGCTGGGGGTCGAAAGTGCCATCGGGTCTCTGCCTCAAAGGAAGGGAGGAAGGAAGAAAGCAAAAAGGATGAGGAGAGAGGAAGCGAGAAGCGGGGATACGGGCGGAAGGATGGATGAGCGACGACTCAAGCAGGGGTGGGCGGAGGGAACATGAATGGAAGAAGGGAAATGAGGCAGGCTGGGGCGGAGAACTAGATTTTTTAGTTCGTGGTTCCTCTCGTGGGCCCATCTTGAGGCTTTCCTGGGCCGTCCCGGGCGTCTCTTGGGCCGTCTCGGCGTCCCCCCAAGCCGTCTTGGGGCTCTCCAGGGGGGTTATTGGGCCGTCTTGGGGCGGTCCTCCAGGCCTCTTGGGCCGTCATGGAGCGTCGGAAAACCGAATAAACGATGAAACAGAAAACCTGGAAAAGAACAATGAAAATCAACAATGTTTGGCCTCCCTCCTCCCTCCTCCCTCCTCCTCCTCCTCGCCCTCCTCCTCCTCCTCAGGTGAGTCCAGGGAGGCACCGTCCAGATCGTTATGCACGCCCGGCCGCCAACCCAAAAATTTCGGGAGCAAGGTTAATAATTCCACTGGTGTGCTCGCCCCGCGAGCCACCTTGTGCTCCGACACAATGAGGACGGTAATGACGATGACAATGACCAAAGATAGTGCAAAACGGCTCTAGAGCCACCGAGTATGCCCAGGCTGCCTGGACGTGGCCTCCAAGAGGCTCCAACAATTTCGCCCGATTCGCCCAATATGGTTCAAATAGCCCCGAAGATAGTTCCAAGGAGCCCTCAAGGCGGGCCCAAAAATTCACCAAATATGGTCCACAACCGGCTCCAGATTGTCGAATATGCTTCCGAAGTGCCGCATCATTGCGCCAAAGCTGCTCCCAATATGGTCGGCACGTGGGTCAGCCTCGGGGGCTGGCGGCACAGGGCGCAAACCTCCGGATATCGAGCCCAATGGCGAGCGCACGCAAAAAATGTTCGAACAAAATGCGCCAATTTTTTTCCGCCAGCGCTCTCGGCAAGTCGGCCCAGGGCAGTCGCAGCGAACAAATCCGAAGTCGGGAGAAACGACGCGCCATGCGTTTCGCCATGGTCGCGTCGCAGTAGCCAACTTCGCCGAATCACGCAAGGCAAGGGCTTCAGTTAGATAATTTACAAATTGCTCCTCGGCGCAAGCCACGCGCGAATGGCATAGTGCTGCCACGACGCGCGCTTTCCTGTATACTTTGGCGCGCGTCGCCTGCCGACCAGGAAACAGGAGCCCGTCGGCCCTGAGACGTTGAAGAGCGTGCGCGCGAACAGGTGCATGAGACGACTCTTCAGGACAGCTGCTCAAGCGCGGAAGTTCTGAAATCCTGTGCCCACATGCGCGCGTCAGAGTCGCAGCAGGGTGGTTCGGTGCCGAAAACACAGAAGTGGCGCACTAACGCTTCGGCAGGACTGTCTGGAAGAATGCTGGTAGCTACTGGGCAGGAGTAGACAGGCAGTTTGTATTGTGGTGGCTGCAGCAGGATTCATCATTTCTGCTACAGTGCGCGATGTGATGCTTAACTACCAGACTGGGCATTATGCGTGGGACCACCGATCAAGAAACACTGCCACTGTCGAGAGGCGGCCCGCGAAGCTTCGAAGGCGCAGATCGCCAAAATATTTTCCACATCCTGAAGTTGTGCGTAGTGAGGGGAAGCGTGCAAGGAATCACGCAGCAACGCCGTTGCAGACGCAGTCTCGAATCCGTGGACGTGCGCGATCGGCAGCAATGCTATCCAATGACCTCCTGCAGAAGGTGTGCGGATCAGGAAGACGGCAATAGTAAATGCGCCTTCTGCCGTGCAGTGCGGAGCGTACGGATGGCCCAAGCGTTCTTGAATGTCTTCTGCCGTTTAAAAAAGGCGCAACGTTCTGGCGGGTGACATTGCATGTAAGAGTTGCGATATCATAGTTGCTTCCGCCGGGTTCGATGAGGTTCGCATGAGCGTCCCCGAGGCGCGCTGTGAGAGCTGCGTGTTCGAACTGTGCTTTGGTAAGCGTGGACTGCGGCTGCGATCGAATTTTGCTCACAGGAACCATGCAGTGACTGAATGCGCGGAGGCCGCAAGTTGCGCCAACTTGGACCCGCCTCGAAACAGCAGCGCTGGAGGGTGAGTTGAACCACGAAGGTGCAGTTTGGACTGGCGGCAGATGTTGGGGGAGGGCATGACAGCGTGTCGCGGACTGTTCCAGTGCGCGTCACTAAATTCATACTGCGGGCCATGGAGTTTCCGGGCATCCGCAGGCAAATGAATGTTGTATTTTTGCGGCATTACGGCAGTGGAGGAGGCGGCGGCGGCATGACAGGCTGTTGCATCGGAAGTGTGTTGTGGCGTGCTGCGAAGAACACATGAAGCATGCATGCGCAGAACCTTTGGGGCATCCTCTCGGTCTCGCATGTTGCCCAGAGTGCGGTCGGAGTCACCACCAGGAGCCATAAAGGTTGTTGCAGGAGTGGAAGCTGCAGGAACATTGTCAGCGGCTGATGGACAACGTGGCGGAGCGCCGGAGAGGCTGACCACTGAGTGCAAGGGTTTCGCTTGGCGCTCTGCGGCGTTGCGAGTGGCAATGTCGCCGGGGCAATCCAGCGGTCGAGCGAATTCGTAGTCCACTGCGTCACCAGCTAATGGGCAAACTGGCGGATAGCCGGAGAGGCCCACCACTGAGCGCGACGACTTCGCACGGCAATCTACGGCGTCCTCACTGACATAGGCGCCGGGACACTGGGGCGGGCCAGTAGGTTCGCATTCGGTAATGTGGGTCATGTCTGACGGTGCGCACGGCCACTTCATCGGACATCGGGGCGTTGTCTGGAAGAACCGACGCGGTTTGCGCAGTAGCCGCCGGCGCGTGCCCTTTCGGGTGCGTGCGTCGGGCGTAGGGCCCCTCGGGTTGATGGGAGCGTCAGGCGATGGCGCGGCAGCATTTTCAAAAGAAATGCGAAGCGCATCTGATGACCTGCCAGGGACGACAACTTTGGATAATGCCATGCTTGAAGCGACATGTGGAGGACGCGGAGAAAGGTGCGAATCGCCATGGTTGTACGCAGGCTTGACGCGGCAGCAGCGTGCGAACTCACACAAGTAAGCCATTCGTCGAAATGATGCGGGCGATCAATCAACGCCGTTCGCAACGCAAGCTCTTGCTGTTGAAAATCGGTGGAATCAGGCACTGGATCCTGCATCACGTCTGCGTCGTCTTCGCATTCCATTGGGAAAGGCGCGCTGGCATCGGCTGTTGTCGGCACCATGCATGACGGCTTCGAGGGGCGAGGCTGTGAGTGTAGTCCAGGAGGAGACGCTCTTGCAGGAGTCGCGTCTGTGTGTTGTGGCATGGAATGGGCCAGCAGTCCCTTGTCGACCATGTTCAACGCGTACTGGTACGATGTTTTGGTATGGTCGCTGATTTTTCGTTGTTTGTCACCTCCGTTATCTTCCACCAGTGCCCTGACATTTTGCGATGCGACACCGCGCGAGAAGGCTACGTACAGCTGTCCGTGTGAAAATACGGGTGCGGGAATGTATATGCCAAGCCTGCCAGGCAAAGATTGGCCTTGGCTTTTGTTGATCGTTATGGCCCAAGCGAGTCGCACTGGGAATTGGAAGCGGCGTAGCACAAAGGGAAGATCGGCGTCTCCACTGCTGTCGCAACAGATGCGCGGTATGAATTCTAATTCTCCGCGGAACGGCCCAGTGACAATGCGGACGAGCATGGAATATTTCATAAGTTTTTCAATGACAAGCCTGGTGCCATTGCACAATCCCTTGCGCGGCGCATAATTACTTGCGTAGCAGAATGACTAAAGACCTGCTTCGCGCGCGCAGGTCGTGCGGGGGCATGCCTCCAGGTTGCAATGCGTGGAGAAATTCATCTGAATATACGTCAGCCCGGGTGCATTCTGAGGCGACGGAATCAATCCTCAAGGATCGGATTTCGGTATCGGGATTCACGGATGCTTGCATTGCGTCGTTGAGGGCGTCAGCGGCGTCGTTGGTTGGTGTCACGACGGCTCGATCGGAGTAGAATGACGCCCACTGCGCATGTCGCACTGTTTCGAATCCGTCGTAGACCCAATTCATGAGATCTGCACTGGTAGCGTCCGGGCCCAAGAAGAGGCGCGGCGGAACCTCCACGACAGCCGGTTGCCAGTCTGGTCCGTCGCTCGCGCAATGTGGGCGGGGCAGACATCCGCCACCAATATCAAAACAGAAGGAAGCGTAATCAACATCTAAGCGCGCCCGCATGTTCTGGGTTAGCTTGTGTCGGACAAATGATCCGTCTTGCCACCAAGGCAACGCTGCGATTGCATGGGCGGCCACCTGCTCGCGATCGATGTATCGCAGGACCGGCGGGATTTGTCTGAAATCACCGCCAAGGAGGACAGGCTTGCCTCCGAAAAGGCGGTCGCGGCACATCAACTGGCGACAGCAATGGTCGACGGCTTCGAACATGCTACGTCACGCGGTAGGCGCTTCGTCCCACACGATTACGGCGGCATCACGGATGAGGCGAGCGGCAACTGATTGACCTTTGACGTTGCTTTTGCAACCCTCGAGCGGCACTGGGACCGGCAGCTTGAATAGTGAGTGTGCTGTGCGCCCTCCGGGCAGTAGCAGGGAAGCGATTCCCGACATGGCGACGGCAAGAGCAATCCTCCTGCTGATGCGCACGTAATGCAAAACTTTTCGGTATAAGTGTGTTTTACCAGTGCCTGCAGGACCGTCGACATAGTGCACTGTGGGACCCGTGGTTGGAGCAGCACCGTCAACCAAACGAACGATTGCATCGAAAACAGCCTCTTGATCGGCATTCAGCTCCAATTTATCACAGGCAGCCTTTTCCCAGTTCATATGTTTTTGGTTTCGCAGTTCGGCATTGTACTCATTAGCATGTCGTTGTCGTGGTGTGAGATCGGCTGTTGGGCTGGGAGGCGGCACGCCCAGGTCGACCATCGATGAGCCGTATCTGGCGAAAGTTTCCTGTGTATGGCGGCACAGATCGCATGCCAAGTCTGGTGTCATTTTGTGGTGATCAGATAATAGGAGAAGGAACTGATGCCAGAACGAGGGAGGATCATTCACGTCAAGCCACACAAAAGATTCTGCAAGAAGCTCTCCGAGACGTTTGGTGCTCCGGATGACCGTGGCAGCCTCGCGTAATATGTTGACGGTTTCAGCATCATCGCGCAACAGCCCCAGCTCTCGCGCTCGGTTCTGAAATGTGGGCTTGGAGTCTGAAGAAGTAGATGCTTGCAGACTGTCCCAGCTGACAGCGCCCTTTCCAGTCACGTGCAGGAGCAGGAGGCGCAGATAGTATAGTTCTCCAGATCCAGGCTTCACGTGTGAGATCCGCCCAACGACAGTGCCATTGCGAGGTCGTTGTTTGCGCGGCAACCACTGATGACGTTTGGAGTCCAAAGTGAAATGGCCAGGCACTTCGGGGCTTCGTAAGCTGCGAATGAGATCAGCGATGTCGGGTTTGAAAGAAGGCGCCGATGCATTCAAGACAAACCAGGCTTCAAGCTTTGTTGGCGTTACGATGGCACGATTCACGGACGACTGTTCTAGACCAGCCTCGAACTGAATCGACTGGTGCAGCGGCGGGTGCACAGGGAGGCGCTCAACCGCGTGAGACTGTCCATGCATCTCGAAACCCATTAAGCGCCACGCCGCTTCTGGCGCCCCAACATATCGTGAATCCAAGTAGTCGGAAACTTCAGCATGTACTTTTTGTAAGCATGTCAATCTGGACCTTTGTATGTGTATGCATGAAGGTATTTGACTGCTTTGATGGCTGTGCACACCTTTACATTTAGGCGGCATTGCATGGCTTCCAAAAGATGTGCATTGTAAGGGGCCGCGTGTCGAGAATCGAGGACGCCATTTTTTGCGGTTCGGAGGGGGTTGGTCTGCCTACGACGATATTGCGGATATCCGTTTACATTGGCGACGGCATCGTCGATCCATGCTTTCGGGTAGTGCTTAGAGCAGACCCCGTCGACCATGCAAGAACACGAAAGATTGAGCAAACCGCACGGGCCGTGCATCATGTGCTGATCCACCAGTGCGCACAATTCCGGCTGCGACACTGGTTCAGGCAGTTCGGCGGAGACGAGGCGGTCGATGTGGCTCGGTGTGCGGGGCTTGTCGGCGTCTGCCAATATGAGTAGGATGTGCGCATGC